CATTCTCCTGCTCACCCCAGAGGCCGCAGCCTCCACCCTGCCATTGTTTTATGATGGATGCATTTTCTGGGGCTCTCTGTGTCGTTTGACCATTGATCACTTCTCCCCTCTCTTTACAATAGATGTGTGCCAATACCAATTAATCTTGATCCACTTGTTATTTTGTGACCTTTAAAAAGGCCACATCTCATGATTTATTTGCTTCTGCTGGGTGCATTCACAGATTGTTTTGCTGCTGGAGAACCAGGGGCTTTCTGTGATTTTTTTCAAACTCATTTCCTCTGCTCCAAATGAACCCCCATCAAGCCATATTGACATTCTCACTCTGCTGGAGACTGGTAAATGTTATCTGGAGAACTGTTCTGTTTCATTTCCTAATTTTAATTGCTCCAGGCCATTCCTCCAGCACTTCAATGGGTTTTGGAGCAGGAGGTTTGCAGGCACTGCAGCTCCTGCTGTGGAGGGAGAGCAGGATGGAGCTGGCCATGGGCTGGAGCGGGCAGGACTCAGGTGCTGGCCATGGCCAGGTGGAAGAGAAGCAGCAGAAAAGGAGGAGCTTGTGGATCTCTTCATGTGGAGAGGCAGGGCTCTGTTTTTCAAAGGTAAGAACCTGTTGATTTTTTTTTTCCTAATTTTTTTCTCTATCTAGTCACAAGTAAATAATTTATTGCCTTTTCCCTGTTGTTTTGAAATTCACTATTTAATTCACTCTTTTTTTTTTAATAGATGAATTAATTATAACATTTCAAAACTAAGTTGCACTTCTAGGTAATTTTTAAGAAAAGCACCATTATCCCCTCTCCTGGGTAAGTACAGCTATTCATGATTTTATGTTAATCTGTTTCTCCAGATTGTAATAATCATGTTCTTTTTCTATGTAATTCAAATAGACTTCACTGGAGAGATCTTTGCCTGGAGGAGCTGGAGAGGGCAAATATTAATATAAATTTTACTATTGGCAACTATTGCTATTTGACCCTCTCATAAGTTCTTGTCTGTCCCTTCCGTGGGATCTGGAGTCCATAGTTTTGAGTGACTTGCAGAAAATTAAAGTTAAATGTCAGCCCACCAGAGTATGGCTTTGAAAGTCAGAGTTTTCATTTCTTTCAGACCCCATATACTCATCTCAGTATATTGCATCTTTAAGGAACACTTATACAATTTATTTATGTAAAATGCTGGAATCAAATATATTTTTAAATAGTAAGAGAAGTACCATGGGCCATAATTCAAAATCCTGTCTCAAAAGAGAAATTAAAATGAAAATAAAATCACTTATCTGCGAACGCTGATCAAATCCACAGCAGGTGTGGAACAGTTGTATTCAATGAATGCCAAACCTCACATTGAATTTTTCAATCCCAAACCACGAGATTTTGCTGGAACGAAGCTTAAAAAGAAAATGTATTACAGAAGAGAAATTATTACCAAAAAAAATTAAAGGAAATATATAAAAGGAAAAAATATATAAATATATAAAAATGTTTTTATAAATATATTTTAAATATATTTATAAAAATAGATATTTTATATTATATATACATATATACACACATATATACACATATATACATATATATACACATATATACAGATATACAGATATATACATATATATATATATATATACATTTATATATACACATATATACATATATATATAAAAGGAAAATAAATGGTTGTAAATGGGGTGTTTGACCCTTTCCAGACCTTTCCACAGCTCTGCCCTGCCTGGTGTTCATGGATGGACCTTCCCTGGAGCTGCAGGTGCTGCTGGGCTAAAGGGGAGCTCCTGCAAAGGGGAGATCTCAATTCAGAGCAGGAAAAACTCTTTTATTCCTCTTTTCTTTCATTCCTTTGAAGCTGGAGGCAGTTTTGTGCCACTGAAGAGCATGGAAAGAGCTCCTGAGGCCTTCATGTCACACAAGGTGTGTTGGATCCCACCCAGGCATCTCAGTTAGAGCTGATCCCAAAATGGGATGTGGACCCCAAAATCCTGGAGAAAGCTGCTCCTCTCTGAGCTGACAGAGGGGCCAAGCTGAGCACAGCAGAGACAGCTCATCTGTGTCACCTCCTCTTTGTCACCGTGGGGAATGATGAATTTGCGGCCTCCACAGGGACAGGAGCCTATTTCAGCTCTGGCTTCCTTTGTTCCCTGTTTAAACTCCTCTCCCTCTCTCATTCATCCCTGACAAGTGCAATGTTTAGGAGTCAGAGGCTTGTGCAGCTCTGCAGCAGGTGGGATTTTGGATCCCTGCTTGGGAGATTTTCCTGGAATGTGGCATTTTCCTGCATGTGGCATTCCAAGAACGTGGCACTTGGCTACCTGCGCTAATTCATCCTGAATTTTCATCTCTTTTCTGCTTTTGGTGTTTGAATCTTGTTCATATCACTCCACACCAAACCCTTGATCTTCTGGCAACATGCCCAGGCTCTGGGGGAAAAAAAACAAAAATAAAAATAAGACAAAATTCGTAAATTCCCAGCCCTTCAATACGCAAGTTAAAAAACTTCCAAATTATTGCTGTCATTTTAAAAAGCAGAAGAGTTTTCACCTTTCTAAAAACAGACAGCTCTGTACTCCTATAGAGTTTGACATTTTCTGTGCAGCAGATATTGACTCCAACACTCCCTTGACAGAGCACAAAAATTCATTTTGTGAATTGTATTGACAGCCTAAGTAGGCTCTTTCTTCTCCCTTGAATAAGCTTCTCTAACTTATTAACTCAGCCTTGAGGGGTTTGAATATTTACATCCAAAACTGAGATCTGTTTACAGCCCAACATGTGTTTTGGTATTCAGGAGACATGGGATGAAAGTTCCCATGAAATCAAACTGCTGTAAAACTCCCCAGTGATCAGGAGATGTCCTTGTGCATCAGGCCCTACACCATCCTATGGAAAACCAGCTTCAGGCACACAGCAAAGTGACATTTTCCTCATTTGTCATGATTCTCAATCCCCAGAACAAGCCTGCCTTGTGATGCTGAGGTAAAAAAAATGGGAGTTTTAGAAATTCACTTCAGGTAATTTTGTCTGATGAAAAAAAGAACTTTGATTTAATTAAAATAAACCCCACGATTTTGTACCAGAAAACTCACCAATACTGCAAACAACCCCTACAGCCATGCCCATAATTTTGATGACAGAGAAAAAAAATCTCCAGGATTATTATTTAATGAATCATATTTTGATTAAAACTTCTTCTGCATCCTACCTTTAACAGCACACCTGGAATATATCAGCTCTCCCAAGATGACAAGTTTCCAAAGAATAAAACCTCAGGTTTCATAAATGATGAGCCAGATTTCAGAGGACTACATCTCATCTGATTTGGATCTCAAAGAGATCCAAAATAGATCCAAACCAAAGAGACCAAAATAAATTTTATTTTTTGGGGTTTTTTTGGTTTCTTTTTGCTTATGGAACCATCCATATGTGCCTGGATAAATGAAGATGAAAATTGGCTGCCTTTTCAAAGGCTAATTCAAGAAACTTCCAAAGTCTTCTGTTCTTTCTACTGATCCATCAACATTTTCATAAACCAACTGTTTTCTTTTCAAGCTGTGGTGGCTTCAGTCAAATTGGATAAATCTGTTCAGATTCTTTTTAATTGGGAGAAAGTGAGGGAACAGCCACTCTTCCTTAAAATCCCTTTGGTGAAGTGCAGCTGTGGCAGCCAGGGGAGCTCATTAAACCCCATCCAGAATTTTCCAGACCTAGCCCCAGTGTTTGTCTCCCAACTGCTGCTTCCTGTGAAAATTCCTGCTTATTCTCTGCAATAGAAATGGAGATTTTGGTGTGTCCCTATTCCCTGATCAGGTCTTTGTGCTGTGGCTCCAAGTTAGGCTGGGC